CAGAGATGGACGTCGCGAAGGAGATTGCCGCTCTACTTTTAGTTGTTGTTGTTGTTGTTTAACGATGGGACTCTGGGAGATGTGTGCGCCACTCCGCACCTCCCGATTGGCTACGTACGGCGAGAAAGAAGTTCAACATACATACACACTCCCAAGTTTTGCAAGGCAGTTTTTTAGCGGGTCCATCGATATCGTCGTCGTCGGGGTATTAATTTCAAATTTATTAACCGGTAAAATATTTCCATGTCCAGTGTCGATCTCGCCAAAAGGCTGCGGCGAAGAGTGTCTTGTCTCACCGACTCCAGTCTCACCACGCGACCCTGAACGCATTTCCGCATTCGGCACGCCGTACCCGGCACACCGTTCTCGGCACGCCGCACTTGGCACGCCGTATCCGGCAAATCGACTTGCCCCAGGTTGTGGCTGGTTACTCGTCACGGCACCAACAACACTGACCCAGAAAAAAATATATTCAGTACGAATTTAAGCCCTGGCTATTGTTGTTGTCGTCGTTAATTTCATCGCTGTTTATTCCGTTTCAATAAACGTTTGCCGACAAGATGCGACGGCGCCAACGCGTCGAGTCACCGATTCACCGAGATTCTCAAGCTGCGCGGTTTCCTTTCGTTATTCGCGAACCTGTCAACGAGCCGTCCGCGATTTTGGCTATCCGCGAATCGCATCCGAAACTTTACGCGACTGCAATGAGATCAAGCGCTGAGATAATTTCCACGTATTCAATAGCTTATTCACGCATTTAAGGTAATTCATTTTAAAAGGTTCGGTTTCGTAGGCCAATATCATCGTGAAATTTGCTATTCGCGACCATCTCCGGAACGTATCCCTCGCGAATAGCGAGGGAACGCCGTAACCTACGAGTGGATGATTGGGTCCGCATCGCCACCCCCCCCTCCACACTCCCCAACAGCCACGAGAGGCCGCTATCTTCACCACGATGTTGAACGATTTACCGGCAGCCGTGAATGGCGACAATTCAGCGCGTCGCTAAGCGGGAGCGAATTTTAAACACCCCGAATGAGCGTTCACCCTGAATTAAATGTGTTCCCATTTGATAGACTTTTACAAAAGGAACCGCTTCGTGAACGATGTGGCCGTAAAGTCCGAACTCACATTCGCCCGTTGGCAAAAATGATAAGGACACGGGCAGTGAGTGAGTCTGCGCATTTTGACCAGCATTTCATGTACCGTATATACAGGGTGCTTACAAATGCTAACACTTATATGGGACTATCGTTTTTAATTGGAAAATAACGAATGCACCGTAACATGATAACAAATGTAACGTTAATAGCTTCAAAAAGTCAAAGAGTCTCCACTTAAATTTTGATTTAAAGCTTTCGTGACTGCAGGGATTCGTTTGCAAGTGGCAGAATCGCGTCGCAAAAGTGAGCGGCCACGAAACGCCCAACTCGAAAACGATTCCCCATCCGTGATGTCGGAAGGTGGCTCCAATAACGAGCGACCCAAGGCCATTAACAGCTCTCAATGCTGTGGGGGCTGAGGTCACGATTCAGGAGGTTAGATGACTTCTGCAAGGCAGATGCACGCTGGCCAACGTAGCGTCCAGGGTATAGTCGTTCTGGCACAGTATAAATCAGTGTTAATGAGGACAGGTGTTAGATTGCCTTGGCTAGTGCTGGCGCCTTGCTGCCAATGTGGCTCGTTGCATTTTATTTTCGGTTAAATAAGCATCGTCTTACTTTTTGGTTCTTTCGGTAAAGTCACGCAGAAAGAAAATAAATAAAATAGAATACGTTTCGATTGCAACACAAGCAATCATCATCAGGTACGAATGAATGAGAAAAAAAACAAAAAATGTTCTCATTCATTAAATGAATGAGCAACTAAAATAAAAATAAACTATCTTCTTTGGTTCTTTCGGTAAAGTCACGTGACTTTACCGAAAGAACCAAAGAAGATGAATCATTGCAGTCACGAAAGCTTTAAATCGAAAAATAAACTAGTTTCATCATTCATTCGTACCTGATGATGATTGCTTGTGTCGCAATCGAAACGTCGTATTCTATAATTAACTTATTTTCTCTCTACGTAACTTTACCGAAAGAACCAAAAAGTATTTTGATTTAAAGCTTTCGTGACTGCAGGGATTCATATTCTTGGTTCTTTCGGTAAAGTCACGTAGAAGGGAAACAATAAAATAAAAATATAAAACAATAAAATTCTCACGACGTTTCGACTGCAACACAAGCAATCATCATCAGGTGTGAAAACCACAGCAAGAAAAATAGAAAAATGCCCGCCACTTTTTTCAAATTTTCTTGCTGTGGTTTTCACACCTGATGATGATGATTGCTTGTGTTGCTGTCGAAACGTCGTGAGAATTTTAATGTTTTATATTTTTATTATTTTATTGTTTCCCTTCTACGTGGTGACTTTACCGAAAGAACCAAGAATATGAGTCTCTACTTGTTCGCCATCGTTGTCAACAAGTGCCTGGAATCTTCTCCAGGTAGCCCCCAGAGCCCGGAGGCAAATTCTCAGACGTGTTAAATAAATTTTGAAGCACCCTGTATAGGTGGGCGTGTGCGCGCGTGTACAATATTGGTCTAATCATTGGGGTGGGAGCCACGAGCGAACACCGATTAAGGCTCTCGCGTTGCACAGCACTGCGGGTGCCGTTGGTCACAGCTCCACTCGCGTGGACCGGCGACCGCGTTTGCCGCGCCGTGCGGCCTAAGGAAGGCCCCCAGAAGCCTGCGTCAGAGACTGAATGGAGCACCCCCGGTGGTTCCGATGCACGCTGCGGCCAGGGATCGAACCTGGGATGCCGCGGAGCGCAGCGACGCCCGCACGCGGTGCGCGACAACGCCGAGACCCGAGGTCGCACGCACGATGCAACGCGTCGACAGTGCCTGCGGCTGGCCCCGCTCGACCTCCCCCCCACCCCCGCCGCCGCCGCCGGCCCTCCCTCCTCCTCCCCCCCCCGCCACCGGAGGAAGACGTCTCTCGTGCGTTCGGCGCGTTGCGTTTCATTTCGAGCTTGCCAAGCGTGGCGGGGGAAAGAACGAATCGACCGGGACCGCTCGGGCTCCCGTCCTCGCTCGGCCGCGGTGTGCCGGTGGGAGTAAAACGGGGTTTAACAAAAACCACACACACACACACACGAGTACCAGAACACTCCAACCGGACGCCGACACCGACGAACAGAAAAAAAAGCCTTAGGAGGTTACTTAAAAAGAAAGACCTGGCTCGATAAGCTTTATTGCCTAAAAAAGTTCCGCGGCGATCGCCCGCACGTCCGCGACGGGATGAGTGCGTGCTCCCGCGCGGTGCGAACGCACAGAGCGAACTACGTCGTTGGGGTTTTCATGAAAAACAAAAAGTTAAACGAACCAAAAAAAAATGAAACGATCAACGGCGTCGCGGGGGCGATCGCGATCGGAAAACACGCGCAGCCCCCCACACGCAGCCCCCCACACGCAGCCCCCCACACGCAACCCCCCACACGCAGCCCCCCACGAGCAGCCCCCCACGCGAGTCAACTATAAAAGTGAGCAGCGGGGAAGGGGTAGTGAGGAGCCGCTCCGGCTACATCGTCACGCAGTCCCTCCGCGCTCTTTGCTTGCCGGGTAGAAAACAACAACAAAAACATTTTAAACAAAAAGACGGAAGTTCATTATTCTGTTCATTACTACTAAGCCGTAAGAAGCTGATTTGATTTACTTAATACAGCCATGTGGGGATTGTTTGGGGGGGGGGGGGGGGGGGAGTTCTCTTTTCGTTTGCTTTTGTTCAGTCGCGACTATAAAGCCGTCAATTTGGAAGAGACGGTGAGGCGCGTGTGCGTGCGGTACACGGCGCACACGCACGCTACACGCGTCTGTGTGTTTATATACACGGTATACAGGTAGGCGGTATACACACACACAGTACACGCGTGTGCGTCTGCGTGTTTACATACACGGTACACACACGGGCGGTATACACACACACACATACTCTCACACGGTGTACGCGTGCACAAAGGCAACGTAGATTGGCGATTCCACGCTAACGGGATTACAAGACCAACTGCGGGTGCATCGTCAGGCAGGGGACGATCATTCTTTCCCCCGCGCAAAGAACATTCAGACAGGAAGCTCGCATCGCCGTTGACGATTATATCCACGCGCTGCAACCGCTGGTTCGTTTCCATCGCCGCCGTAGTGGCAGCGCCCAACCGCGCGCACGCAACGAGCATTCACAAGCGTGGCACAGGTTGAGCACAGGCGATCCCGCAAACGATGGCAGGATCCATGCGCGTCACGAATCGCGCGCGGCACGCACAAGCAAAGACAAAGATTCCCCTGCGGAGCTTTAACAGACTGTAGGGGCAAGCGCTGTCGGCGAGCAGCACCTACGAAGGCCTGGAACGGCACCACGAGGGGGTGGGTGGCCAGCACCACGCCCGGCCGCCTCCGTCTCCCCAGTGGCGATGTTTGCTACACACCGCACCGGGTACTCATTTGAGGCTGAGTCGGCCTAGGGGAGGCCCAGGACCGGTACAAATAATCGTCACTGGTGCTGGGCCCCTGAGCGGGAATCGAACTCTGGTGGCCCCGGCTTCGTAGCGCGCGACACTACCGCTCCCCCTACACACACACACACAAGCACGATACACATTCGCGTACACACACACAGCACACTTTGCGTACACGTTGTACAGTACCGATATCACATCATTGCATTTTCTTCGGATAAAAAAATTCACCCCCTCCCATCCCCCGCTTCAAGGCCCAAGTGTCATGCCCCCCTCCCCGCCTCCCCGCCCACCCCAATCCCACCTCCCGTCCCCAACTTACTAATCCTGCTGCCGGCACTTTAGTGGAATTGGAATCTCGACCGCTACAAAAATATACATCTCTAAAAACAGTGGAAAATATCTTCCCTCCCCCAGCGACGGGAAAGCGCAGCCCTTTTTTTTAATCATCGCGCCCCGTTTCACTCATCATTTATTTTGTTTATTTGTCTGTTGCTGTTGTTGTTGTTGTTGGTTTGTCCTTGGCCTGCGAGGCAGGCCACCCGTTCCCCTCCGCCGTCGCAACCGCCGCCCTCTCCGCCGCCTCGGCCAGCCGCCAAAATAATTTCTCGCCGAACGATATAAAATCTCACGATTCCCCCGCGTTGCACCGCTGTGCCGTAACCGTGCACAGGAAATGTGCATATCGCGTACCTATCGGCATTGTTTATTCCGCTGAAAAGAAAGATTCGCTTATTTTAAATGTTCTCGGCCAACAGTTCGCTCAACGCAAGCCGGCCGAACGAGCCTTCCAATCATTTGCCAAGTTACAAATCTGCGAAGCTTATCACGTACGGGGGAGCCCGTCAGTTCGCGGCAAGTGTAATTTGAATTCGCGACAAAACTGCGGCAATTTCTGCAAAAGCACGACGAATTTTAACGGATAAAAGCTATTTAATGACTAAGAACTTTAGCGTTTTGTGCTTGTAATTTCATAGATATTTCATCGGGAAGTAAAACATCTGGGGTAAATAAAATGAGCGACGTCAATCGCAACATGACGACGACTGCTTTGTGACGTAACCACGTGTGTGTGGGGGGGGGGGGGGGGCAGCTCGACCGCCCACCCAGAACCCTCGGCGGTCTAGCTGACAAAGGGGATTCTATTTATTTAACTTCTTTAAAAAACGAACAACGAACGACGGTGGCGGAAGTGACGGAGAACATTCCGGCAGGCCGACGGTGCAGGCGCGCAAGCGGCCCCCCCCCCCCCCCCCCCCCCCCCCCGAGCCGTTTTGCACCGCGTCGTTAACCACAGACGATTATTAAAAAAAAACACAAAAATTTCACCATCATTTGTTTGCTATCCGATAAAATGTCTTCACGGAAACGGCAGGCGACGATTTTGCCGATACCGGGGAGACAACCGGTTGGGAGCGCGTGCGTCAGTAGCAGTGCTGCACATTACTTAAGAGAAAGCCACATGACAAGGAGACTCGATTGAGAAATAATAATAATAATAATCATGATATTAAGACTCAATGTAATAAAGAGATGAAGTAGCCAGAGTGACTGTGCTTTTGTGTAGAAGTAGTCGGCTCGCCTCGTACTAACGATGATAATGGTGTTGACAATGGAGGATCAGGACAACTGATGATGAAGATGGTGACCGATTATGATGACGTGAGAATGAAGATGGCAATGAAATACGATAACAATGATGGCAAAGAAGATGATCGCAACGGAGATGGTGACGACACTGATGATCATGATGTCGACGACGACAGTCATTATTCTGACGATGCCGACGGCGGCAATGGATGTGACGACATGGCATCAACCTCGACAAGACGTCGATAATTAATACGCGATGACTCTGACGTTCGAAAACGATGATGATTACGACGACGACGACGACGACGTTAACGACGAACATGATCGACACGACAAGAATCAAAACGACAGCCACGACGACGGACACCTGCGACGAAGGCGAGCGCAGCCGAGACACAACGGACGCTAACGGGACCAACGCGACGATTACGACGAGAGGAAATTTACGGAAAGTGAAAATTTAAAAACGACGGCGACGACGCTCAACGATGACGGACGACGACGAGATTACGACCACCACCACCACCACCACCGTGAAGAAGATCTCTCAACAAGACGACGACACCTCCTCCTCCCGCGCGCTACGCCCGGTCGCAGTGACCTCGCAGCACATCCCGCCATCGCAGCCCTCGAAGGTCAAAGTTCAAATCGCGCACGCGCGCGTTCCCACGCCCCCCCCCACCCCCCCGCCACCACGCGCTTCCGCCGTCACAGAGTGATGACGGTGCCATCCTCCTCCATGCTGCCCTGCTGCAGAGCGCCGCCGTTCCCGTGACCTCTCGCCACGACCGCCGGCGCTTTGCCACCGCCGCCCCCGCCGCCGCCCCCGCCGCCGCCGCCACCCCCCCGCGACCCCCCGGCCCTCTCCGCCTGAGCCCCTCCGTTGAGCTCCGCGTCCGACCGGAAGCGCCGCGACAGCTCCCCGTTGGGCGACAGCGGCAGGGGCTCCAGGGAGAACGGCGCCGACGACGACGACGACGACAACGCCGCCGGCGAATCTATCACCAGGTCCTCGTCGCTCTCCTCGCCGCTGTCCTCGTCCGTGTAGTTGGTGATGACGTAGGGCGGGCGCTCGCCGGCCGGGGCGCCGTTGCTCCGCGCGGCCGCCGCCGCCGCCCCCCCACCGCCCCCCCCCCTGGCGCCGCCGCCGGAAGACGAGGAGGACGACGTCGCGGACAGCGTCGTGCCCGTCCCGCCGGACAGCGTCCCGCCGGACAGCGTCGTGCCCGTCCCGCCGGACAGCGTCCCGCCGGACAGCGTCCCGCCGGCCGCGGCGGGACGCTGGTTTGCGGGCCGCACGGTGATGACGAGGTTGCGGCTGTTGGCCACCATCATGTCGGTGACCTGGTCGAGCGTCTTGCCGGCGACGTCGATGCCGTTCACCTCCAGCACTTCGTCGTTGACGGCGAGGAGGCCGGTGCTCTCGGCCAGGCCCCCTGGCACGAGGCGCGAGATGAAGACGGCCGGCGCCTTCTCGATGCCGCGTGCCATCACGCGCAGGCTCGTGCCGTCGCGGATGAAGAAGCCGAGAGGCCGCTCCGAGCCCTGGTGGGATTGCGGGTGAGAGGTGGGGGAGGAGGGGGGTCGATAGGCCAGAGGGGATAGGAGGGGGAGATGATTAGGATGTTGTTGTTGTTGTTGTTGATGTGGGGAGATGGATATTGTTTGAGGAGAGATGGGAAGAGACCCGTGGGAGACTCGATGAGATTAGGAGATGTAAAGGAGATGGAAAGATAGGGGAGACACGGGGAGATAGCCGAGACACGGGGAGACGTGGGGGCATGGCGAGCGATGTGCAGAGATAGGGGACGGACATGGGCAGATGAAGGGAGATACAAAATGAGGTGTGAGATGTCATTATGGAATAAAATGTACGAAGACATAGGTGAATGGGGGGGTAGACACGGGGAGACGGGGTGAGACATTGACAATGGGGAGATAGAGGGCGATGGGTGAGATAGGGGTGACAGGGAAATATTAAAATGCGATGTAGGGAGATGGGGCGAGAGATGAGGACACAGACGGGAGAGACTCTCCCAAGAGCCCTGGGCAATATCCCCGCTGGCCCGTCCCGTCGCTGCCCCCTTCGCTGCCCTTGTCCCTGCCCAGTCCTTGCCAAGTCCAGACCCTGGCCCCGTCGGTGCCCCGTCCCTGCCCCGTACCTGCTCCGTCCAGTCCCTGCCCCATCCAGTCCCTGCCCCGTTCAATCCCTGCCCGGTCTAGTCCCTGCCCCCGTACCTGCCCCCATGCTTGCCCCCGTCCTTGCCCCCGTCCCTGCCCAGTCCCTGCCCCCGTACCTGCCCAGTCCCTGCCCCCATACCTGCTTGTAGAGCTTCACTCGGCGCACGTTCTCGGGCAGGATGTCGGCGTCGATGATGGAGGACACGGGACGGAAGTCCTGCGGGAGGCCGATGTCGCGGTGGGGCCGCGGCTTGTCTCGGGGGTGGAGGAGGCCCGGGAGGCCCGGGAGGCCCACCTTCTTCTTGCGCAAGAGGCTGTTGGTTCCAAACGCGTTGTAGTCGGCATCCTCTGCTGGACAGAAATACAAAAAGAATACATACGTATAAAATTTGCCAAGTCGTCTGTGGATCCGAATGGTTTGGTGTTCGTGCTGCCCTAGCGGAGCGATGCTATCGGAGCAGGCGGCGACGCTGCGCTTCAGGGCTAGGCGTGGTCCCTGCGGTCGTTTCACAGGAGAGAGGGGGGGGGGGGGCGCGACGTTGCGATGTGTATTGACCCAAATAGGCCATTTAAAAGTACAATTTCAAACTTGGCGACATCACACGCTCTTTTTATTGTAAATACCGCCCCACGGGACCCCCAAACAACGCGTCGTCCTTTTGGGGGTTAATACGGAGCCCCCCCGCAAGTATTAACCAGGGCGGCCGCCGCTCCTGAACCGCGCGAGCTTCCGCAAAAACGCGCGGCAAACGGCGCCGCTGCCCACCCGGCCACGTCGCCCGCCGGTCAACCTTCAGGGTCAACCTTCAGGGTCAAGCTTCAGGGTCAAGCTTCAGGGTCAACCTTCAGGGTCAAGCTTCAGGGTCAAGCTTCAGGGTCAACCTTCAGGGTCAACCTTCAGGGTCAAGCTGCAGGGTCAAGCTTCAGGGTCAAGCTTCAGGGTCAAAAAAAATGTAGCGAGTGTGGAAGAAGATTCGTGCGCTCGCAGGCGTCCATCCGGGGTAGGCAGCGCGCGATTGTCAGGGCAAAATTAATTTGCATATTTACAGATACGTAGTCCTCATCGCTCTGGGTAAGGCTTTGATCTAATGGGCCAGTTTTGAAGCCCAAGGGGCTTCTACGCAAGCCTACGAGTCTCTTTGTATACCTATGGGTCGCACTGACAGAGACTATGGGTCTCCATGTAACCCTATCACGCGAGCATAAACCATCACGCGAACGCCGGTCATCCTGACAGCAGCTGCAGCGGCGGCTTTAGGCGAGCCATCGAACAAAGATGCGTCACCGCATCATCGCGCGGCGCTTTCAGAAGTGCTTCTGCGGCCGTCTGGAACGCTCTTCCTTTCCGACATGAGGAAGCCACTGGGAGATACAGTGAGGGAAAAAAGCATTTGATCCCCTGCTGATTTTGTACGTTTGCCCACTGACAAAGAAATGATCAGTCTATAATTTTAATGGTAGGTTTATTTGAACAGTGAGAGACAGAATAACAACAAAATCCAGAAAAACGCATGTCAAAAATGTAATACATTGATTTGCACTTTAATGAGGGAAATAAGTATTTGACCCCTCTGCAAAACATGAATTAGTACTTGGTGGCAACATCCTTGTTCGCAATCACAGAGGTCAGACATTTCTTGTAGTTGGCCACCAGGTTTGCACACATCTCAGGAGGGATTTTTCCCACTTCTCTTTGCAGATCTTCTCCAAGTCATTAAGGTTTCGAGGCTGCTGTTTGGCATCTCGAACCTTCAGCTCCCTCCACAGATTTTCAATGGGATTAAGGTCTGGAGACTCGCGAGGCCACTCCAGGACCTTAATGTGCTTCTTCTTGAGCCACTCCTTTGTTGCCTTGGCCGTGTGTTTTGGGTCATTATCATGCTGGAATACCCATCCACGACCCATTTTCAATGCCCTGGCTGAGGGAAGGAGGTTCTCACCCAAGATTTGACAGTACATGGCCCTGTCCATCGTCTCTTTGATGCGGTGAAGTTGTCCTGTCCCCTTAGCAGAAAAACACCCCCAAAGCATAATGTTTCCACCTCCATGTTTGACGGTGGGGATGGTGTTCTTGGGGTCATAGGCAGCATTCTTACTCCTCCAGACTCGGAGGGGTTAGTTGATGCCAAAAAGCTCCATTTTGATCTCATCTGACCACAACACTTTCACCCAGTTGTCCTCTGAATCATTCAGATGTTCATTGGCAAACTTCAGACGGGCATGTATGTGCTTTCTCGAGCAGGGGGACCTTGCGGGCGCTGCAGGATTTCAGTCTTTCACGGCGTAGTGTGTTACCAATTGTTTTCCTGGTGACTATGGTCCCAGCTGCCTTGAGATCATTGACAAGATCCTCCCGTGTAGTTCTGGGCTGATTCCTCACCGTTCTCATGATCATTGCAACTCCACGAGGTGAGACCTTGCATGGAGCCCCAGGCCAAGGGAGAATGACAGTTCTTTTGTGTTTCTTCCATTTGCAAATAATCGCACCAACTGTTGTCACCTTCTCACCAAGCTACTTGGCAATGGTCTTGTAGCCCATTCTAGCCTTGTGTAGGTCTACAATCTTGTCCCTGACATCCTTGGAGAGCTCTTTGGTCTTGGCCATGGTGGAGAGTTTGGAATCTGATTGATTGATTGCTTCTGTGGACAGGTGTCTTTTATACAGGTAACGAGCTGAGATTAGGAGCACACTCTTAAAGGGAGTGCTCCTAATCTCAGCTTGTTACCTGTATAAAAGACACCCGGGAGCCAGAAATCTTTCTGATTGAGAGGGGGTCAAATACTTATTTCCCTCATTCAAATGCAAATCAATTTATAACATTTTTGACATGCGTTTTTCTGGATTTTGTTGTTGTTATTCTGTCTCTCACTGTTCAAATAAACCTACCATTAACATTATAGACTGGTCGTTTCTTTGTCAGTGGGCAAACGTACAAAATCAGCAGGGGATCAAATACTTTTTTTCCCTCACTGTACGGCACTTTTAAATCTCGATTGAAAACTCATTCTTTAAGCACCGCTTTGTGTGTTTAGTTTGTTTTCCACCCCCCCCCCCCCCGCGACCAACCTCCGATCAACGCGGTCGGCCACGTGTGCGTACGTTACGCGAACGCACGATGGCTTTGCGGCATCTAACCCCCCCCAATTCCCGCCGCCGTACAGCGGGCCTCCTCCTGCCGCACGGCAAGAGTGTGGCTGGCCCGCGCCAGCGTGGCTGGCCCGCGCCAGCGCGCTCGGGCATGGCGTCGTTAAACCGCACGCCACCATCGGGGCCAGCGGTTGTTCATAAATCCTCATTTTGCCCGCTCGCCAAAACGCGCCTGGGCTCGGGGGCCCCCACCCCCCAGCTCCGCCGTCGCGTCGAGCCGGCTACCGTGGCGGTTGGCGCGGGGGTTTTGCCTGCAACGCGGGGGTTGGTGGGTTGCGAAAAGATCGTCCGCAGTGTTTTTACCTGCTCGTCAATAATTTTTTTTTTTAAACAGTCCCGGTTACCAGGCTGAACGAAGAATCAAAAGTCAAAAGTGATTTCCTGATCGCATGCGGCATCGACGTATCGGTGATCGACTCCCGTTCGTAGCGCTGTTGCGGAAATGTACACATTGCTTCGGTGGGAGCGGGTCTATTCCATCGGGCAACCTCTGTTGACATCCCCATGGAGCGGTAAGTCATTTTATCTGCATCGGAGGGCTGATGGGCCGGAGTCAAACCACCAACCACAATGTGAACTTGCTACCTCTTGATTGCGGGCCGCTCGCTCTGCCGCCGAGTTTCCCGGCCGGTTAAACGACAAACGACGGAAATGAGACGGCAGAAATCGGACCGAGAATTGCAAAGGAGTCTTCTTCCATTTGTAATTTATGTGATTACAATCATCCCCCCCCCCCACACCCCTCCTCTGATCTTTGCACCCTGATAGGCTCACATCTTGCTCTGTTAAGAGCGGCAGCAGGAAGACTTCCTCACAATTCTGGAGGGAAAAAAATAAGCCCGATGAAGCCGGTTGTAAATCGCCAGCGAAACGCGACAGTCCTCGATTGTAAATGTCGTGGGCTTACTCGCCGTCGTGCCGATGTGCTCAAGTAAGAGCTCATCGGCACGTTTTGGCCACGTGACGAACCTTGCTAGTCGGCTGCGTCGGGTGACGGCGGGTTAACGGCACATTGACAATTACGCGATACAACCCAAAAAAACCCTTCATTCGGTAGACGATTGACAATTGCATTCAATATTAGAAGACGTAGACCGGCCGAGTGCAACGCATCTGCCTGCGGAAATTCCACACGCCTATGGAAAGGGTCAGTTTCACAACATAGCAAAACCGGTATACTAATTCTATCCACCCTGGAACAATGATGATGGTTGATGTTAAACGGCCGAGTTGAGGGTAAAGTGGGCTCACCATCCCCCCCCCCCCGCTATCTGCCAAGCCGTCTGACCGTGGATAAATCTGTGCAGGTTTTCACGCCGCCAAGAAAAACAAGTGATTAATAACGATGATGAATTTTAGAACAAACGCATTGTACTGTTATAAAAATAATAAAATAACTCGGCCAGCTGCCGCACGCAATGAAATTAACAATTCGTCACCGACTGCACAGTCGTGTTTTTGTTTTGGTGCGCGACAGCCGGAAGACCTCGTGGCAATTGGGCGAGCGGTTTGAGTGTTTTGTGTGTGGGAGTGTCTTTTTCTCTCTGGGTGTGTGTGTGTGTACGCGTGCGTCTCTGTGTGTACGTAGGAATGCGTGCGTGCGCAGCACGCTGCGCTACGAAACCCGGCGACCTGAGTTTTAATCCCGCTCATGGCCAACACCGGTCCTGGGCCTCCCCTAGGCCGACTCTGCCTCAAATGAGTACCTGGTGCGGTGTGTAAAAACATCGTCACTGGGGAGAAAAAGGCAGCTGGGCGTAGTACTGACCACCCACCCCCTCGCGTACCTTGCATGTGCATTTGGGGAGCGGTGGTACAGCGATTCGCACACCGTGCTATAAACCCCACGAGCCGGGTTCGATTCCTGCTCACGACCAATAACAGTCACTCATAGATGAACCGGTCCTGGGCCTCACCGAGGCGAGCTCTGCCTCAAACGGTGTGCTGTGTAAACATCAGCACTGGGAAGACAAAGACGGCCTGGCGTGGTGTTGGCCACCCCGGCCCCCCCCCACCTCGCCGGCCTTCACAGGTGCTCATTAACAGCACCTGCCCCAACAGTCTGTTAATGCTACACGGAGGATCTTTGTCTTTGCATGTGTGGGTCAATGTTGGGCGCAACGGAAGGGCAGCGATTAGCGCCAAGTCTTTTGAGCCCCTGGCACCTGGTTTCAAAGGCAGCTTACGAGGTCTAAGTGTT